AATCAATCAATCAATCAATCAATCAATCAATCAATCTGGCTCACATCATCTATGGGATGCAAAAATCATTGGGAGCTAGCGTCCTGATTAAGAAGTCTTTTCAATAATGTTTCTTTTCTTTTCACAAAGATAATACTGCCCAGTTATTCTCTTGTACCAGTAATGAGTGAGTCTGGACATAAACAGTGGTGCGTTACTTACTGTAACTGATTTACTCTATGAGCTTAGTTATAAGTTGTACCTACACTGAGCCTAGTTAGAAACACCCAATAGGTAAACTTCTTTGTGCCTTCAGGTCAAACTTGCTATCTGGCAACTATGTAAGACAAGTTCATGTACTTTTCTTGATAACAGTTTTCAAAGTGATTTCCCATTGCCTTCTTCCTAGGACTGAGAGAGAGTGACTGGCCCAGTCACCCAGCTGGCTTCATGCCTGAGGCGGGACTAGAATTCCTGGTTTCTAGCCTGATGCCTTAACCACTACATTAAACTGGCTCTCAAGTAAACATTACAGTATTACCACTTTATAAATAATGTACTAGATCAAAGTTGTGATAACCAGAAACGTGCCAATTTTTTTCTCTAAATAGTTCCATGAGCTGAGTTCCTTGCAGGACTTACTTTAAGCATCACAGGTTTTTCTTCTTCTTTATCAATTGGGATATTTGTGCTGTGAACCCAGGTATTTGTACATAGATGTCTAAGTCTGACATAAGAGTTCCTGAAAGGACCAAATATATTTATATTAAAGAGATTCCTGATGCACAATTCTGTAGTAATTTCTCAAGATGTTCATGGAAAACTAAAACGAACTTTTCAAACAATGTTTTTTTACTGCAGGGTACTGAATGAAGCTGAATTGAAACAACAAGGCATTCTGCATTAACCTGCTTCTTTGAAGAGTAATTCAAAATTAATTAAGTTTTTTAGCTGAAATATCTGTCCCAGATATTGGACTGAAATTTTACTGCCTGCATCTATCTAAATTTGAAATCACTGATAAATTTTTGGGAGGTTCAAATTTGCTTCTGTTTTTAAGCACTCCACTTTTTAAAGGCTCATTTAAATCCAATGTCTGGTTCATACCATGGGATAATTGGATTATGGAAAATGCTTCATTTCAATCTGTTCTGAGCACAAAACTTCTTAAAATGTTCTGTTCTCCTCCTTTTGAATTAAAACGTAACTGCCTGATCACTATTATGTACTCTGCAGTCCTCCAAGGCACCATCATGTACACCCTTGACTTTAAGTTACCTGCACTGCTATAGGAGTTACTAATCCTAAAACCTGTTTGTTTTTTTCCTAAAATTGCCTTAGCTGCTATCTATTACTCTTCCAATTACTGAAATTTTATTGTTGAGATTTTATTGTTTTGATAAGGCAGTACCAATGTTATCATTCGTTTTTAACAAATAGCTTTTATTATAAAAATTTGTAGTAAGCCTCCTGCCTCATTGCCAGATGTGGCAGGGAAGGAGAAGAATAAACACAGCCTTGTCTTGTATTCCTTAGGAATTGCTGACATAGGAATAGCTGGAAATATAAGCAGTTTGCAATGAGTTGCTTCGGACCCAACCCCAGTGCCTTTCCTGCTGAAGCTACGAAATGGTTTCCTGTCGGATGATGTCAGAATACGAAGAGGGGCCAGGCCTCTGCTCTTCATCTGTCCCACAGGAAGATGTTATTTAACCTTTACAATGTAGCATTAGGCTACATCAGGGAAAGCCTTATTAAATGAGAGAGGGCCCACTGAAGGGATCAACCCCTCCAGAGGTTCATGGGGTATGGGCCAGGTGGCAGTCCTTTTCAGTGGTAGCCCCCATACTTTGGAACACTTTTTCCCTGCAGGTACATTTGGCCCTGACTCTCCTTGTACTTTGCAAGACCTAAGACTACAGGTTCAAGCATTCCTTTGCAGGATTAGATGTGGCCAGTTTTGTTATTATTTCATTTTTATAATGTGTGATGTTTCTTGCTTTGCTATATGCCAAGCTGGAATGACTGGGGTGGTTTACATTTTTTTAAAAAATAAATAATTATATAAAGAGAACATTGAGTTGAAATTTATTCAATTTATTTCTGCTAAAATGCTGTTCTCTATTATGATCTGCTTAAGTAAATTGAACTCACTGCAGTTGCAAACACATACATGTCTTCATTATTCATAGCATCATACCTTGGGACTAGGCTGTCTCCTCCTCGCAGTGTGGTGGGATCAAGCTCAAAGATGGAAGAAATGTCATTTCCTTCAGGCACAGAGACTAAAGAGTATGCCATCTTCTCTGAAGTATTATGCAGTCCCCTTCTGTCTGCATCTTGGTCAGGATCCAGCTGTGGAGGAGATTTCCAATCAGACCAAAATTGCAAAGACAGTTTTTCAGATACATTGGTAAGGTGTTATATAGAAACTCAGACTTGTAGTTCATGCTTCCATTTCAAGTGTAGACATAGATACCATAAAACAACACACATCACTAGCTCCCAGGATTTAATCAATCTTGTACAAAAGCTACCATCAAGCTGAGTCACTTCTAAATCCCAAAATTCACATATTGTGCTAAATCATAATATATTTTGTTTCTTTTTGGCTTCTTTTTGGGATGAGTAAATGCCATCAGTGAAAAATGCATGGCTTGTTTCATAATAGTAGAATAAACCATGCTCTTGTTGGCTTACTGACTGCAATTCAGCTTAGTGTGATATGGTGATACACTAATGGATGCATGTGGTCTGTGATTTCCAGGCTTACTCCTGGTTTCCTTTCTTTTCTGCTCCACCCAGCTCATTAATTAATCCATATGACTTCAAAGCAAGAAGTGCTAAAAAGTGAAAGAAAGCCAATATCTGACAAAAGATACCAAGCTCACATGTCTACAAAACTCACTCTGGCTTGCTTCTAACATGTACAACCGACCATAGCTTAATCTATGTGTTTACAGCAATTAAAAAATCATCACATAATCTAGACTTCAATTTAAAAAGTCTAATAGCTTTTAAGTAATGGAGTCAGACATTACTGTAATACATTTTATAGGTAAGTATTTATGGGATATTATTACTATGGATGCAGATTATACAGTAAAACCACAGAATCACATTTTAATTAGAAACTGGAGATTCTTGGGGGGAGCAAGAAATGAAGGAAAATATCAGAATCACATTCTGAAACAATAATTGTTAGAAAGTTGGATTATAGCAAGCAATAATAAATAAAAAATCACAGGTTTTCCACTTCTGTGATGGCATCTGGAGAACATTCTAGAGTAGCCCATACACAAAATGAGTGACCGCAAGTAGATCCTCCATATGTCATCTTGGAGGCCATCCTGAACCTCTTCATTTTTCATCAAGGGATTGCCTGTGGAAAATGTTAACCTTACCCAATTACATGAGTTTTCATGCAATTTAATACAACTAGGACAAAACATAATGAATGGATTAGATATGTAAGACTGGAAGAAAAAGAAAAGACTGGTGTTTAGATCAGCTATGCTGGGTTTTTCCCAGACATCCTTGCCAAATGCAGAGCTTGGTAGCAGATCTATGGTTCAAATGAAAGGTACCTAAAGTGGCTGAATTACTGAAATGGAAAGAAGGGAAAAACAATCTCCTTTACAAAAAGCAGAATGACGTGTTATTTGGAAAGAATCTTACTGATCCTTTGCAGCCATGAGTTTAAATAGCCAAAATTATTAGAAATGCATATGCGCACCAACTTTTCTTAGAATTGTTTATACATTTGGAAATTCCATAGAATAAATGCTCTATAGACCAGGAAGTTGAAAAATATGAAGATGGCAATGGCAAACTACATTCATACTGTTGTCAAGAAAGCTGCATGGATGTGGCTAAGTACTGTTCAATCTGAAGGATACTTTACATTTACTTTATTCTAATTTTGCCATCTGGTGGAGAAAAGCAAGTAATGATAAATGGCAGGTTGACAGAAGTCACTTCTCCATGATAGGTTTTGTGCAATAAATGAACATTTGTTGATTTGATGTATTATCTAAGAGTCCTTGCATCTTCATTTCAAAGGGTACTGAAGTATTTTTCTACAGGCTAAGTCTCCCTTAAATCAAACTTGGCTCCTGGTAATTACCCAGAATAACTTTCTTGGCAAAAATGCAGAAGTGGTTTGCCACTGCCATTTTACAGGTGTTTGTTCAGTATAGATCATAATCAGCATTCACATTCCCTAACCACAGTTCTCTTAGAAACTCAAGCATATAATCATCCTCTGCTTGCATATTACACTGGGGAAATCCAACATTTGAAGGGCCAATGATTACTCTTGGACCTCAAATGCCATGTTCAACAAACTCTCGAAAAAGTGTGTGGGGTAAATCAATTCAACAGTTATTTACTAACTGTAATTATGTTTTAATACTTTTCTACTTCTGCCAAGATTAAAAATGACAATTTCACAACTTTAGGAGGCTTCAAATGCACACAAGGTATTTGATGACCACAGGGTTGCATTTGTCTGTATTAAAACATTATGTTAAGTCACCTGTAATTCAGTGTCTGGAATAAGGAAACTTGATGTTACAGGTACAGAGCATATGGCCCAGGAGCCAACAGAGGATTAGATAAAATCCCCAATGTGTTCCCAGATTCTATTGCCTGGCAGCAGAAAAATCCAAGGCCACCCACTCTCTTGGCCTTCTCTATATATGAGACTCATGTATGTAGGTTTCTATGAGAGGACATACATAGATATAAGAGAATGGTTTTACTTTGGGGACCACTGTAAACGCTTGAAAATTTTAAACATTAGTAGTTTAATAATGAAAATGTTTTTTGTCTTCTTCAACCCAACCTTCAACCCAGGCTTTCCTCAATTTTGCAGTGCAGCCCAAGTATGCTGGTCAAAGTTTGGTTTCATTCTCAGCACAACCAAAGCTGCACACGTCTGCCCTATGTCTTGTCCATAACTTCATTTATCTATAAAAGTAGCACAGGTTTCCTGATGTAGCCTCAGCCTAGCTGGTAAGTGGCAGAATTTTTATTTTTATTTATTTATACATATATTCAGATGCTGTCACCTCCTCCTCTGTTTCTAGGCAGCTCACCATAAAGCATAAAAATATGCTTTATGCTAACTACATTAATGCCTAATGTGGCTTCCAAACTAAATAAATTAATTCTTCCCTGGTGTGGCTGCTTTAATTATATTGCACTCTCTACCTGGAAGGCTCATTGGAAAAGCATGCTCTGATTTCCAAAATAATTACAGGAAGGGGCTATCACAACCTTGGGGAGTAGGCTATTCCAAAGTGAGGGCACCTTTATATAAAAAAAGAAAAACCAACCCTATTTCCAGATTCTTTCTCCCTTGACTTCTCACCAGGTAGGGATTCTCAGCTAGCATAGAATGGGCAGGCAGAAACTACCTGAGCCAGAAGAGCCCCAAAAATAACCAAACTCTTAAAAAGCTGTATAAGTAAAAAGCAGCACCCTGAATTGAACCTGGAAGCCTACTGATAGTCAATGCAGTTCCAGATGAATCACAGTTATTCTGCTGTACAGTGCAGAGTGGTCAGCAAGCAAGCAAGCAACTGCATTCTTGTCCAGCTGTAGATTCCAAATTGCCTTCAAGGGCAGTCTTGTGCAGAATGAATTGTTGTAATCCAAGCATGAGATAAGGGTATGAGCTATTGTAGCCAAAGCCACAGTATATTATCCAGAGCAGTGTTTCTCATCCTTGGCAACTTTAAGATGTGTGGACTTCAATTCCCATAATTCTGGCTGGGGAATGCTGGCTGGGGAATTCTAAGAACTGAAGTCCACACATCTTAAAGTTGCCAAGGATGAGAAACACTGGTCCAGAGAGAACAGTCCTGGGCAATGGAAACTACATTAGGTTATCATGCAGCTACCCCTCCCCCCACCCAAATATTTTTGCCGTGCCCTTCTCTCCATCATCTAAAAATCCTATTATTTAGGAAGATATACTTTAGGAAAATGTTGTTTGAGCCAAAGGACAGAAGTTGATTTAATTTAGAGTGGGCAAAAGAAAAGTAAATTTGCTTACCTAGATATCTAAAATTATTGCTGCCCAGTTTCAATATCCATTAGTCACAATGCTTAGCATTACAAACACCATGGTGAATCTTTCCTCTATTTATACCTTTTGCAGCTTTGATTTGCCCCCGTGCTTCCCAGTTAAGATCGTACCAGGGCCAGTGTTCAAATTGCTGGACAGTCAATAGGGACTTGCCTCTGTTACATCTGTGCCAGTCTCCTTATAGATTCTCATTAGAAACTGAAAAATCACACAGGGGCTATGATTAGAACAGAATTAGAACAGAGACAGGGGATGGAGCATGTAGATTTCATTTACAGCCTCCCTTCCTGTTACCCCAGTAATTTGAACACTGGTCAACACTTTTTGATTAGAAGCTTGAGGGTTCTCTTCCCTATACTTACTGAAGACTGACATTCCTGGTTATCTTCCACATAGTCAAGATTTATCTGATGGAAGAGAATCACAAGCAGGTCAAAAGAAAGAAAAAAAAAACTAGACTTCCCCCATCTCAAAATTTATACAGTAAAATATATTTGTTGTATAAATATTACATATATATTTAGAAAATTCCACACTACATAATTCATTGATAAATCCAAGCAGGCACCCAAAACGTTTGGGGAAAAAAATCTATGAGACGTGTAAGATAATTTCAAAAAGAGGTATCAGCAAAATTATCTGGGATGTGCGAATATATCAATTCGTTCATATAGGGCAAAGACGTGGCCACTTTTTCAATACTGGTTTCTATAACAGGAGATGTATCCACAGAACAGTAACAAAAAATCATTGGCACAGATTTTAGCATGTTTTCACAAGTTCTTCCAAAGAAATGCCAGCGGTATTGACCTATGATCTTTCCAATTAACATGTCAGTTTTCTAATTGTTTGCAACTCTTGATGTTTACCTGGTAAATGTACCTGTAACTTGGAGCATAAGAAATCAGGTTTTAGAAAAAAGTTTCATAAGAGGCTTTCTTGTAATACATACCTCAGCTGCTAAATAATGTCCAGTAGCAAGATGCTTGAACCGAAAAAGGCTATTCCAATAGCCTGCACCACCACGGCAAGGATCATGTTGTACTACCTATAAAGTAATAATAAAACTTTCTGAGAATTCTCAAGAGCTGCCTTTTTGGATAATACCTGTCACTTCTCCTTAAGCAGACAGGACCATCAATAAAATGGCTGAAAATAGTGGTTTAGAAAAAGAGAGTGGAAGAACAAACCAAATTCATATTTAAATTAGTTGCAAAACAAAGGGGATAATATGGCTCATCCAAAAATGACTGTTAGTTCAACTTATTTGTAATGTTATATTTGTCTATGAAAAATATAGGTGAAAAATGTTGTGTTGAGAAAGTATACTTTCTAAATCAAGAATATTCAATCATTGTAAGTTGTTCCTATGAACCCTCATAATATTGATGGACATTGGGGGCAAATGACCAGCTGTATCTTCTACTGCATGTTAGTTCATTTTGTACAATGAATCTATCAGCGCAGAGATCCTACAAGGAGAATCTCTATTTACATATGATGGTATAGACATATATTCATATATGAGACGCAGAGTACCTTCACATATTTGAGTCTTTGGACATCCACAAATTACATTAGGTTCATCATGCATTGTGCAACTTATGTAAATTTGTAATGCACATAATCTACATCATTACATCATGATGCACGAGAAGTCTTTTGATGTCACTATTATTAGACATCAGATCAGATGTCCATTAGATGACTATGCACATGGCTCCATTATTTTCTTTGAATATACACATTTTGGGGTTGAGATGGGTGTGTGGTTCCACTTGTCTAAATTTGTCCAGGTCCTATATCAGGGATGGGAAAATTATTATTATTGTTATGGGGCCTTTTAATTTCCAACAGCCCTTTGTATTAGTAACAATACAACCTTTTTCTGGAAAAAGGCTAAGCTAATACAATGATTTCTCAAAATATGTCTTAATAAAGAACACATCCCATAAGACAAAAGACAGAATTAAAAATATATGCAAGTTAATTTTATTAAAAGCATATTTCTGTATGTCCAAGTTCACCCCTTATACTGGACTGTTAAGCACACAGTTTCATTCTGAACTACTCGTCAGTGTGCACCACTGTTTAGCTTTTTTCAAGTGTATGCCTGAAGTAGCAGGTGACTATAGCTGCAATCCTAGCTTTATCTGGAAGTAAAACCACTGAATTTATGGTACATTTGAGCAGACGTATATAGGACTGCTTTGTTAACTACTGTATGATTGATTTGATTTTAAAGAAAGAAAGGACTGTGTCAATATCAGGTAAGAGTTGCTGACACATGGACTAGGAAGAATTCTATTCCAGAAGTTATTTGAGTACATAAGCTCCCATATTACACTACAAAGCAATAAACTAGAGATAGGCAATCTATTATTCCCAAACCACAAACAGTCTATGAATTAATGAATTACTTTTCTTTTGCAGCCCCTGGGATTCAAATTGTCTGAAACTGATAGCAACTTTTCCCACCAAACAACTAAAAGCTACAGATGTAGCGTCCTAGAAACTAGATCTACTTGTGTGGCATGGCCCCCACTTCGTAACAATGTCCCATCACTGCAGCCCTTGCCATTTCCCCTCAAAATTTGTATGGCCCCAAAATGTTGCCCTGTTGTGATAATTGCAGTTCCCAGTGGGCTGCTTCAAGGACCCCTCCCCATGTAAGAAGGAGAAGTAGAAAGTGTGCAAATAATAAAAAATAAAAAAGTGAATTTCTGTGTAACATACAATGATACTAGCTGAAATTATTATGGCTGCACTCACAGAAGATAATTGTGCTCTTCTCTGTGGTAACGGTCTATTTTAACAGAATCATAAAGAATCAGATAATTGTATGAAAACAAACATACTATTTTGTTTTGTTGTAATTAAAATAATTTTACGCAAAATCACTTCTATTAATATGAAGCACTACTGTTTGCTTTGGAAGACATCAATGTTTTATTTTCCATTGCTCAACAGCAACACACTGTGAACATCCAGCTGTAGAATGAAGAGCATCATGGAAACAATAGCAACTCAAATCTGAATGCTTCATTTATTCATTGGAACATCCTAATCCACAATGGAGCAAAACCTCTTCAGATATGTATTCTATGTGAAACAGTCCTACTATGTAAGAAAAAAATGTTGATGAAAGAATGGAGGGATTTGATTTTTAGCACAAGAGGGCTTTTCATCAAGATTTGAAATTCTCAGGGTAGGAATACTAATGAGAAAACCATGTTAGCTATCTTTAATCCCATCTTTACCTCAACTTCCCACAGAGCTTTTGAGCTAGTTGCAGAAGTTGCTGACTGCCTCCCAGTAGTTCTCAGAAAAACATGTTGCTTCTTTCGATGTTCATCACAGGTAAGAAATTTTTCCTGCTCTGCATGGAATAACCGTACCACATCACCCTGTGAGGACGATGAAAGGATCAATCAATAGAAGATTCAGTCATTTTTTAGCAAAAAGCCTAGTGAGGAGGTACATTTTTCAACTTACTCCTTTTAGAATATCATCCTTATTGTCACTCCATTTCATAAAAAGGACTATTTTCCAGCTTGTATTGCAGTTCACTGAATTTACCTATAAAAAGTACAATGCTACAGATTAAGACAAGAATACAAATATACACCATGATGTGCAATTAACTGTCCCTCTTGACAATCATGCAGAAAACTAAATGGTTTATCAATTATTTCTAACCGTCATGAGCTCTTAACTTACCTCATTACAACCAGGGTTATCCACTAGTTGATGGCTACTGGCATGCAGGGGCTGCCCAGCATTAACAGGATTTAAGACTACCTTGTCCCCAATGACCACCTGAAAAACAAGGTTTCCATTTGATTTTCATACATAGATCGTTTACAAAGGCAATATTTAATAATATTCCCCCTACCACCATTGGAATCTGTTGCAAATTTATTTGGAAATGGAAGTCATTAGTTTTAGGATATCAAATGCAAAAGAAAATGAAGTAACATTTTAAGTAAAAATAGAATTATTTAAGCTATGCCATTTAGCTTGATTCTTGCCATCTTTGTGATGAGCCAAGTTTCAGTCATAGAAATTATATCTTCTAAAAATGATGAAATTGTTTTTAAAAATGTTTGCTTCAATTTAATAACAGAATTTCCATACACCAACTTCTACCAGTCTTCCATTGTGCTGAATGACATTGTACATACATTGTACACAAGTATGGTCCTGGACATCTGATTTTTTAAAAATAAATTAAGAAAATAATTAAAGATGGTTTTGCTTTATTTTTGTAGGACTAATATTTCAACAATCCATTATAATCTTCCCCAACCTAGTGTCTCCCCTCTGTTGGTATCAAAGGCCATTAAATTTCTAGGCCGTATGACAAAGAGCTATTCTAACAGGGGATTTTGGGAGTGGCATTCCCAGCTAATGTGGGAATGGCTGAGAAAAGCTGTTCCAGGAAATACATTAAGGCTTCATCAACTTCAAAAGTCTTCTAACAATACTGCATTTCCATTCCATGTAGGAAATATACTTTGTTTCCCCCAAAATTAGATAAGTCCCATTATAACTTCCTACTGAACTTACTGAAAATAATATATCATCTGCAATGTTTGAAGGATTCTCTACCACAATTTTGTTTAATTGTGATATGCTTACTAGAGGTACTATCTTTGAGCAAAAAATATGAATGCACAAAATTCTTAACTCTTCACAAAGCAGCAAAATGAATGGAATAAATAAATAATGGGCTGGGTGAAGGTCAGTAAACTGAAATTCAACCCTGACAAATAAACATTTCCATGGATAGGTGGTTCATTTGTTTAGACAGGTAGCGTTCTACTTATTCTAGATGACCTTCTATTTGTTTGTTCAAATGTACAGCCTGTTGGATCCAATAATGTAATATAGCCCTAGGTGTCTTTGGCAGGGAATGGCCTAATTTGGCTAAGCCATCTAGAGCAAAAAATATAGTCCTAGTTATATACATTCTGATAATGTAAAATATTTAAAATACAATGTCAGTGTTGTTGACTGTAGGAATATAATCCTGATTACCTTAAAATAGTAGGAATATAATCCTGATTACCTCAGAAGAACTTTGCTAGTTTGTAGACACAACCTGTAGTGTCAACACTTACTGTACCTTTAAAGCTTAGACAATTCAGGACCCAGATTCCTGCAGGAATGACTTCTTCCATATGGTTTTTTTCATGTACGAAGATCATCTTCAGAGGCTCTCCCCAAGTACCCACACCATCCAAGATTAGGAAGATGGTGATTGGAGAGAATACTTTCAGGGTAGTGACACACACTGTTTAGGGAATTCCCTCTCTAACTTCAACCTTGCTATTCCTTTCAGGCAAAGATGAATGTACTATTTTTATTCCAGTATATTGTAATAACAATTTGTGGTATACCTGCATTGAAAGAGCTCCTGAAGAATGGCTTATATAACATATTTAAAATAAACTGAATGAATTTAATAAAGAAAGTAAGTAATTAAATGCATTAAATAACAAATACTGCTTGTGGTGCATTGGATACCCATGGTGAATAGAAACAGCAGAAAGAGTTTTATGAAACCTTGAAGTTAATATTTATTGTAATACATAATTTTAAATTTCCATTAGGTTCCCAATCATTTTATAATTAGCCGACAAAATAATTATTGATGCGTTGATATAAACTAAAATATCTTAACACAGGAGTTCTTAAGTGAACAGAATGACGTTATTTTCATAATCATTCAAAAGTCAGAGAAAACTTAAACAGTTACTGTTCTGGTCTTTAAAAACGTTTCATGTTTCCAAAACATTTGCTTCTATAGGAATTCTCTCTCTTTCTCTCTCTCTCTCACATACAGTGGTGCCTCTACTTACGAACGCCCCTACTTACAAAATTTTCAAGATACGACCAGCTCCGGCCCCAAAAATTTACCTCGATGTGAGAACTCCGCCTCGAGATACAGCCATTTTTCCACCCTGACACGTGATCCGCGGCCATTTTTCCGTCCTGACACGTGGTCCGTGGGCGTTTTTCTGCCCCGCCCCGCGCAGGCGTTTTGCCACCCTGACGTGCAGCATGTGGGCGCTTTTCTGCCCCTGACGCGTGGCGCAGGCGTTTTGCCGCCCCGCCACACAGCACGTGGGCGTTTTGCCACCCCGCCGCACGGCGCGCAGGCGCTTTTCCACCCCTGACGTGTGGTCCGCAGACGCCAGAACGGATTAACGGTAATTACATTGAACCTTATAGGAAAATTTGCTTCGGGGTGCGACCAAATTCGGAGGGCGGAACGGATTAACCGTATTTACATTGAACCTTATGGGAAAATTTACCTCGACTTGCGACCAACTCGACTTGCGATCAGAGTCACGGAACGGATTAAGTTCGTAAGTAGAGGTACCACTGTACAATTGTTTTCATGGTGGGGGGGTGGACGGAGAAGCACCACTCCTTCATATAAACAATGCATTTAATTTATTACAAGAAAATAAGCTATTGATGAAAAAACGTTTAAAATTTCAAATAATTTTCCCTGACAGTGCTGTAAACTTACACTATCTCCTATAGAACGCAGTTTGTAGAATGGTTGTATATAAAACCAGGAACCTTCATTGCCAGCCTCATCTAGCGTCACTCTCATAGCATTCTTCTCTAGCAGAGCTGGAAGTCTCTTATTTACTGTTAAGTATTTGTTGCTTTTTAAATGCAGGAGCTGGAAGGAAGGAAGGAAGGAAGGAAGGAAGGAAGGAAGGAAGGAAGGAAGGAAGGAAGGAAGGAAGGAAGGAAGGAAGGAAGGAAGGAAGGAAGGAGGACAACAAGAAATTAAAATAGTTCTCCCTACTGCAATAATTATTCACAAGGTTCACATTTTGTATAGATCATAATTTGATTTGCTTTTGGCTTAGTACAATGTATACTCCAGCCACTGTGGTTGGTAACCATGAGTCATGAGGCAATGTGGGAAACCACTGTATTGTGACTTATGCAGCAATGGTTACCCAAATATAGTTTAGGAGCTGGTCACTGTTCAAAGCAGAAATGTAGTTCATTGATGCTTCTAAAATTCCTGTATTGTTCATATTATAATGTAGAATGATATGCAACAGTTGAGTATCCTACCCACAATTTTCTACAGTTCCAGCAATAATTCCCACTCCAGAAAGAAGCTGCTGAAGACTTGTAGTTACATCAGCCATACAGAATAGTTGGTAAATGGCACTTGACAAGGAGACATGTAGTATATTTATCAGGATATAAGCATCCGCAATGTTTAAAGCATTTGTCCTTTCTAAAGCTAGAGTTCCACTCAAGGTTTCCCAACAACATTCATGACTTAGCAAGGATTTTAAACTGGATCCTCTACTACTCTAACCAATACTCCACATGACCCTCTCAAAGCATTTACAGAATACCTTAGTGTAAAACCAATATTTGGATAATGGAAGTATGACAAAGATACCATGTTGACACTGGGAAACAATCCAGCTCTCGAGCACCAATCAGCCTTCTTATGGCAATAAAACCAGATGCTGAACTTGGAAAAAACAATCTCGAAAAGCTTCTACCAGGCATTGTTCTTCACAAAGAGAGAACATGAGAAAATTGGCATCCTGTCCCCTCTCACAATGCCATTTCAGCCACTGCAGAACCAAACCTTACATCCTGATGCTGGAACCTGAATACACAGTAGCCCTTTTATTTGATGAAATAAAGCAAGAGTTCTAGAAGAACTGACATATCCCATAGCTATCCTGCAGGCGTTCAAACAGATCACTCAAAAAAGCCCCAATTCTGTGTTCCCAATTCTGTTTTTCCTAAGTAAACACCCACTAACTTACTCTGGGGCAAAGGAAGGAAGGAAGCAGGCAGGAGTTGGTGCTTCCCACCATCACAAGAGATGGATCTCTCTCTCTCTCCCAGAATCTCTGGCATGAAAGTGAAACTATTTGTATGATTTATATCTAGAATATATTATTAGATGGGCTATATTTGCATATTCTGGATAGTAGAAATTGGCCTAATACAGCATTTTGGATGCAGATACTTATTGAACTGATGTTCTAAGTACATTTGTATAAAGAACTGACACTCCTAAACAAAACTGCAAAATAGAAATTTCCCCCAATTGATTCTAAAACAAAAATCTTGAAGAAACCAGTGGGAAAATGCCTACCCATGACACTTTACCTATTTTGTTGGGAAATGCATGTCACCACTAGTCATCTCTGAACAAACAGTACAATATTAGCATCTCTGTCATTCTTAGAATTTCAAATATTGTTCCAGTTCTCAGCCATGGAGTATCCAAAGACAGAAAATCCTAGGACACACATGATTTAGGAGGATATTTTATACATTTTCTTCACTGGTTTTTTCTGCAAATGTAATGCTTCTAAGAAAACAGAGATACATGAGGTTTAAATATGACATGGTCTGAAGATTCAACTTATGCTGGAGGGAACCTGTAACATCCTAAATGTTGCTGAATGACCCTCTGGTCGTGCAAGCAGAGCCTGCTGGTTGTTGCAGGTCAGCAACATCTAGAGAACCAAAGATTCCCCATTCTGATTTAACTGCTCACTAAGATATACTCCCTGATCAAATAAGCATAGCAACACTAGTATATTTTTTTCTTGTTTTGTGCAGGCATTTTTAATTCAGAATGTTTTCAAAATATTATTTTGCATTTTTGTCTAGGTTAGTTTGAAAATAATGTAGATTATCTGTACTGCACAAAGACTTCCTAAGTAGAAGTAGTAAGTAAACTACTGCTTACCTGAATAACATTACCATACTGGATAACTGTACCAAGCAGCTTTCTATTCTCTGTCTCATTCTGCTTTTTTTCCAAATCTGCAGCATGCTAAGTTAAATAAACAAACAAAGGATACGCTGATGAGCAAGGATGGGAAAATCTGCAATAAGTTGCTTTTCTAAATGAAACATGTTACAAAAAACACTGCAATTCCAGAAGGAAATATTTATTGCACCACTGAATTCAGAAACACTTAAGAGTTCACCCACTGATCTCATCCATCTCACTTTTGACTAATTAAAACCTTCTAAATGTAATTAATCCCCTCAGAGTAGGGCTAAATCTTGATCCAATCCAATGGATCAAGCTCTGACTCTCGGGTTTCAAAGTATCTAATTTGCTGTGTAAAATTAGACTATTCCAGTATAGTTCCGCTCCCATTCCTAGTTTTTAAAATTCATATTTTCAAATGTCTGCTTTCAGGCATCGGTTGTTCTCTAACCCAAGTGGGAAATGCTGACACCTTTTATTGGTGTTTTGGGTTTTAAGAAATGGTAAAGATGAAAGAAGGTAAAGGGAAGTAGAAAGCAGAGAAAAGCAGTAAAAAAATATAAAAGGAAACAAAGACACATACTAAAAATCAGTAATAGATGGTAGATTAGAATTAATGTTCAGATTCATGTCTAAAACAGCATTCTTTCTTTTTAAAATAGAGGACTCATTCTGAGGTTTAAAAAACAGGTTATAATTCTATAAGACCAGAATGATGCCATTTTTAGTACTTTTTTTCCTAAAGAACAATCAAACGAATCATTCTGTGCAACAGCCACTAGGTGTCACCTTGTTAAAAGAAGAACTGATCTTGCATTCTGGTTAAAACTCGCCCCAGATTCTTAAATCCCTTAAATGGCATTAGTTTAAAATAACCTGACCCTTTGCACAGCTTGATCTACAGCAGAAGATCCTGAATTCCATCACTAGATACACAAGCCAAAAATGCACGTGACTAAATATGCATGTTGAACATTTTCTTACAGATTACTTCAAGCTACATGGAGAAAAAGTACCAAGACAGGAAACAGCTTTGCAATGACTTTACCAAGAATTCTCAATGAACACTCTCCATCCAGATGTTGTGTATTCCCTACATGGGCAGGAATTATTCATTAGAAACAAACCACTGTATTACCTGAGCATCCTCTAATGCATTCCTCTGTTCAGAAGGGACTCTTGTTAGCCTGCTGTGGCAAAGAGTACTGCAGCATTTCAAATCATCTTCCACACAAAAAAGAGGCCTTTTCCTAGTACAGCTAAATATGGCTAAGATCCAAAGGCTTGCTAAGGCTTGCCTGCCTCCTTTGTATTCTTACCCAGCCTAGATCCCATCAAGCTATTTTTGAAACTTTCCTTGGTTTCAAATTCAACTTGTCATGAGACCAGGTACATTGCCTGAGAATTTATTTATAAAGAACAGGTTTTTAATCTTCTCTTAACCACATGGAACGTTTACAAGGTTAGATAAAGGCATTTTTTAATATGAGGAACTGACCTCATATTAAATCATTTGTAATTATTTTCCCTCAATAAATTTTATACACTTCCAGTTATATATACAGGTAGTCCTTGCTATTTGACCACAATAGGGACTGGAATTTAGGTTGCTAAGTGATTTGGTTGTTAAGCAAATCAGAGCTGATTTTGTGACCTTTTTTACGATGGTCATTAAGTGAATCACCGTGGCATTAAGTGAATCACGTGGTCATTAAGTTAATCCAGCATCCCCAATGGATGTTTTTTGTTGGAATTTGCTTCACGACCATATGACTCACTTAACAACCATGGCAATTCACTTAACAACTGTCCTAGGTTGCAAATCGCGATCATGTAACTGTGGGGGTTGTAAAGCACTTTTCCAAGGCTGTCGTAACTCTGGTCTGTCGTTAAATGGACAGTCGTTAAACGAGGACTACCTGTACTGTACTGTTAGTTCTTTGGATTAAATTTGGCTCATTCCTTCCTCAGAAAGACCAGACACATAGAAAAGGAGCATTTATGTGTATTCATTTATTAAACTGATTTATATTGCCGCTCATATTGCAGATGCAACTCTGGGTGGCTCACAACACATTAAAAACAAAAAGAATATAAACTAAATAATAAAACCCACTGTTCCTTGTGGAACAGTGCAATTTAAAATAATTCATTTGTTAAAAATACATGCTTGTTTCTACTTCTATTTTGTACAAATGTCAGTATTTGTTTTGCTTTCTATTTTTCAGATAAAGTGAACAATAGCTGTGCTTACAAGACACATTTAATAAATAAACCACTTATAATAATGGTTTATTCATTTTTTCCCATTTTCTGGATTTGTACACTGTATTAGGTTAAGGGGTTGGGAGTGGAAGGCACTGTTCTATGGTGTTTCTCCTCTTTCCTCCAAGGCTGGTTCAAGTTTGTGTTGGTGGGAAGGGAGTGGTCAAACCGTAATCTCCTACTTTTCAGGGTGCCTCAGGGCTCTTCCCTCCCCACTTTTTTAATATCTACATGAAGCCACTAGGGGAGGTCAATGGTACATCTTTGTCCTCAGCTGTCCAAGTGAAGTGGTCAAATTCTTTCCAAGCATCTGGAGGCTGTGAGGGACTGGACAGGGAGGGACAGGTTGTGGCTCAACCCTGCCAAAACTGAGTGGCTAAGGGTTTTGGGTCCCTCAGATCTGGGGTTTGCTCTTTGGTTCAGGATGGGATAGCACTACCCCATTCAGACTTAGTGTGAAATCTGGGGGTTCTCCTGGATTCACAGTTCCTGCTCAAAGAGCAGGTGACAGCTGTGGCGGAGGGGGATTTGCACAACTGCATGGGGCTTCCCTTGAATCCATAAGCTTCAGTTGATCCAGAATGCAGTGATGCAGGTAGTTATGGGTGCATCTTGTTATGCCAGTGTAATACTGCTATTCTGCAAGCTCCCAATAGGCTTTCAGATGCAATTCAAGATGCTGGTTATTAATTTTAAAGTCCTACATTGCATAGGACATGAGGGACTGTCTTCTCCCAAAAATGTCTGCCAACCCCACATGCTCCCACAGGGCGGGCATACTCCAGGTTCTTTCTTTTAAATCTTGTCATCTTATGGGACCTAGGAAGCATGTAACGGTATGTGGAAATGACCTTGGGAGACAGGGGGAAGAAATGCTGCCTAGGGAATAATTAGATAAGAGAGGACATAGCCTGCGGCTATGTAATGGACAGAGACAGAGAAAGAAACTCAGAAAGGAACCTCCCTAACTTCTCAGGCTGTAAAAGAGATGGTGGGAGATTTATACTATCAGACTTGCAAGATTCTGTTAATGTAGCCAATAAAATATAATTACGTCATCTGGTCATGTTTCCTATCTAATCTACTTGGGAAGGGTGATAGAAGTGTGCCCTTTCTGTGATTGGCCCTGTTCTCTGGACCAATCCCCCCCCCCCGATATCTAACACACCCCAACTCTGTTTGCTTTTAGGAAAACCATTGAAGACCTGGCTCTTCCCCCAGGTATTAGGGGCCAGTTGATTGAAAGTCCTGTTTTGGTTGTTTGGTTATGATGCTTGTTTGCCATTTTATATTTATATTTTGTATATGTTTAAAAATATATTGGGGTGGTGGCAGTTTATTGTTCATTTTTTGAGCTGTATGCCCTCCCAGAGTCATACTGTTTGAGTTGGGCAGCCTTAAATCTTGAAGATAAGATAAGATAAGATAAGATAAGATAAGATAAGATAAGATAAGATAAGATAAGATAAGATAAGATACAATAATTGGTTCAGCGTATCATGTGAGCAAATCTACATGCTGCAACAATGTAAGAATGTGTAAGTATCTGGTCTCAAAAATTAAGTCCTCTTTTAAAATATAATAGACATATATCTAAGTCTATCTTTGCAAGCTTAACTGAAGTAGTTCCCTTTTCAAATCTTTAGTCTCAGAGCACCATACGTTTGGAGCAACTAATGCTATAACTGTAACCCTGAAATTAGAATGAGAGCAGGTCAAAGACCATCACTCCAGAGCACGTACTCACATGTAGTTTGTTGAGCAACACAGCATCAGTTGTGCTATTAGCTCCTGGTTTAGCAGCTTTCCAGAACTGCTTCTGTGCCGAATAGCGATTCATGGGGCATAATTTAAAGAGACAATCTACAAAGAGACATAAGAAAAGGATTGTTGTGTTATCGCTATACATAACTATAAAGAATAATTATGTTATTACTATTAATACCATGCATTTTACATTTAAGGAAACAATTTAAAACAAGTCATAGGAAATCAAAAGTTCTTGGAATGAAACAGTAAGAAAACTAAGCCATGGTATAACTTCTACTGTTTATTATATCTCAAAAACACTTTAAATGATCCTAAATAAAGGAAAAGTTTGTCAACTTGCTTTTTGAGTTAATAAAGCAAATTATTTCCAAACTACCTTGGAAAATTTGGAACTGAAACATTTGTTAATCTTTGATTATGATAAACATTGTAAAGTAGAAGTGTTTGTGAAGCACAAATATCTTCCTGATTCCCAAACAAGGTTTTAAAAGCTTTGATATCCACTGTAACAGTTTTTAACACTAGTATGCTGGAAAAAAATACCTAGCATTGACTTTAGCAGACACATTTCTGCTAAAATAGTTTCTTTTTTCTTTGCAGACTCAGAGAAAGAGATATTTTTTTTCTAATTCTATATCCCAGCTTAACTCCTAAATGATACAGAAATTGATGGCTTAAACAATAGGACTAATGTGGACTCTTTTAAGAATAGTTTACAAAGTTACTACAAATATGGTCCTTCAGAGGTTAAACAGGAATTCAAATACTCAAGAGTATTTTTTGTACAAAGATTATGCTTTGATAACCAAAGAAATTCACAAACTGGAACATGGAAATCCTGTTGAGAGCTTTTGGGTAAAAGGAATAAAAGTCAAAGGAGAGAGAGAAACAAATTTGATTTTGTCGTGGAAGTTTATTAAAGATCTCAAGAAGACCTGGATGAAGGCTTTCTGTGCTGGATGACCAAACTTACAAAGAAGCATGCAATAGTGACAGTGGGAGATTCATCTGCTGGTAATCTAATTCTGCCAAGATTCAGAGGTCTAACAAATTCCTGTCTCTCTTGCTGAGAAACTGTAAGAAGAAAGAAAGGAGTGTGTTTATTCTGGCCCTAATCCCTACCAACAAGGAGAAATTGATTGAAGAAATAAAGGTTACTGTAAATTTGAAAAAAAGTGACCATATTATCCTTGATTTCATGGTATCAGGGATTAGAGAAGAGTCAGACTTGTATATTGGATTTCAGAAGAGTAAATGTTGATGAACTAGGATGAAAGATAGAACTGATTCAATAGCTTGATGTTCTGAAGGAGAAAAGTACACACAGAGCTTTCTAAGATGTTAAAAAGAAAAAGGGACATATTTAGGAAATGGAAGGAGGTGTGTATAACCAAAGAAAGACACTAGACAGTTGCCAGAAACTGTAGGGATTGTGTCAGAAAGACTAAAGAATTGAGACTTGCAAGAAATCCCTAAAACAACATCAGCAAAAGGGTACATCAGCAACAAAAGGAAAGGCAAAGAAGCTGTAGGTCTGTTGCAAGGAGGTAAGAAATAATAATAATAATAATAATAATAATAATAATAATAATAATAATACCACCACCACCACCCCTGTGAGGCACTACCTTGACATGATTGTGGGGCTTGTGTGCTCCGAGAAGGATGAGAGCTATGCCAGAGGTTCAACCACACTGGACAGGTCACATCAGAGGAGCCAGACGAAGAGTGTCTCTCCCACAAACAATATGGTGAGACATAATTTACAGAAACCTACACCAGATTGGTCATTGCCCGGGTCAACAAGGACTGCACTAGCTATTCTAGTTCCTGGACATCTGGTGATAAGTGGGCTACATGACTCAGGACTGTCAGCTGAGCTACCAATGCCAGCAGCTGCAGGACTACTGGAAGAAAAGTTGTTTACCCATCGCAAATATACAAAGACTGAAAACAAAGAAATAATTATTTGCTATTACAAATCAAGCCCAACAAGAAGAAGGTATCTGAAGAGAATGCACCAGTTCTGGAAAGAACAACATCCAGAATTAAAAATAACAGAAGATTAGCAGATCAAAGTCGATTTATAATACAAAATAAAGTGTTCACAAAAGTAGAATTGGAAGAACTGCAAAAGTCTACACAGGGCAAAGAAATCAAAGCCTTGCCAGAAGTACCTCACACTGTAGAGATAAACCAAGGGGAGTCGGCAGTAGAGGAAGCCAGCATAGCTATTGAATCATTTTCATTCCCAAACCAGGCAC